CGCCAGCTCCTTCAGTATCCTCGAGTGAATCCCATCCGGCCCCATAGACTTGTTCATGTCTAGGTGGAGCAGCAGATCGCTAACTGCTTCCTTCTGGATAATACGGGGCTTATTCTGTTCCCCACCCCTGTCATCCAGTTCAGAGGACTGGCTGCCCTGAGGATAACTGGTCTGACTATTAAAGACTGAGGCAAAGGCGGCATTAAGTACCTCTGCCTTTTCCTCATCCTTGCTGGCAATGTTCCCCTCTTCATCCAGTAAAGGGGGGAGATTCTCTTTGGTCCTCCTTTTGTTGTTAACGTATTTGTAAAAACATTTCTTGCTGTCTTTTATGACTGTGGCCAGAGTGAGTTCAAGCTGGGCTTCTGCCTTTCTAATTTTCTCTCTGCATGCCCCGACAACATCTTTGTACTCTTCCTGGGTTGCCTGTCCCTTCTTCCAAAGCTGGTAAACTCTCTTCTTCTTCCTGAGTTCCAGCTAAAGTTTTCTGTTCAACCAAGCCGGTCTACTTCCCCGCTGGCTCTTCTTATGGCACATTGGGACAGCCTGCTCCCGTGCCTTTAGGATTACCTTCTTGAAGAATGTCCAGCCTTCCTGGACCTCCTTCCCCTTCAGGACTGTTTCCCAAGGGACTCTCTCAACCAGCGCCCTGAACAGGCCAAAGTCTGTCCTCTGGAAGTCCAAGGTAGCTGTTTTGTTGTCCCTCTCCTTACCTTACCAAGAATTGAAAACTTTATCCTTGATGCTAAGGCAAATGCATCCGCACTTTGGGAGAGAGTGAAGGTGACTTAACATAAACTCATGTTTGCTAAGAGCCAACTTTTTCCAATTTTTAAGACAGGTCACCCTTCTCACTCTCTGTGTTCTCCCTGCTGGCAATGGGTTGGCACTTCCAAAGACAAACTGAAGACCTACCTTAAAAAGGAGTGCTATATAACCATAATAGACACACTGGAACAAAGCAATGCTTAACGCAACTAAAACTATTTGCAAGCTGGTTTTGGATATCATTTCATTCTCCCCCACTATGGAAGAAATTTCTTCTCTGGCATTTAATGCAGCTTATCAGAAGGATAATTAGCTTCCTGGATATGCAGACTGTAGTTTGAGAGCCATGCCTAATAATTAGGAGCCCAACAAGGAAAATCATGGGGCATGCTTTCAAAACAAATGAATGCTGCTGCACTGACCTTTCTGGAGGTGGTATTTTGCTTAGGGGAACAAATAAGACATTCTCCTAATCAGTGAAGATAACAGCACCACAGCTCAGATGAACTTTCTCCATTTCAGTAGGATTTGGTACTTGATCGTCACAATTAATCTCAACAGACCCACAGTCTGGCTTGCTTATGACCAGGAACACTTACCATAAGAGACTGAAAAAATACCCTTAAGTTCACAGTTTAGTTCCCGTTTCTTCTCTAACAGATACTTGCAGAGCTTTTGCTATAATCTTTGGAAAGGGATGGTGCTGTGGGTCATCAAGAACACGACGACTTCATGTAGGGAGAAATAAAAAAACAGGACTTAAGGCCTCTAGGCCCACTGTACTTTCAGATGCATTGGAAGAGACTGAAACTAGGCTTGGAGAAGTGTACAAGGTACAGGCTGACAAAACCTCCAGTAGAAAGAATCTGCCCTCCAGCACAGCTGCAATGGCATCAGCAAGACAGGCCTTTGTTGCCAGACTGGGAATGCCAGTTCATATAACTGACAGATATTCCAGGGCCTGTCAAGAATGATGCTCAAAACTCCCTGTGGGGAATTGAGGAAGGTGAGGGTTATCCCTGCTAGCACTCTGAATTTTCATTACCAAGTGCTACCACTGAAAGTCAGAACCTTTGCTGAGGTTTCTGCTAGGATGTCAAGGAAGAACCTAGTAAAGTGTTTCACACAGTAGGTACTATCACCAAGGACACTATCAGAGCTCAAGGTTCCTGGAGGGCAGGGTAACAGAGGCTTGAACTTCAGCATCACAGGAATATTTCTAACAAAGACAATTCTGCCTCAAGCGTCTCTCTTTTGATATTTACAAGTCAGGGCAAAATAGTCCCCTGCAGCAAAGAAGGGTAAGGAATCCAAGCTCTAGAACAGATTATCCACCTCTCTGTATTACAGGCATTGATCCCTTGAGGAAAAAGTCTTAGTCATTGGCACAGTACCACTCGCTGACGTCTTATACTATTTGTGACATCTTTGCAAGAGATAATCAAGATCTTCCAAAGAAGACAGTCAGAAAGACAATCCAGACTTCCTTTGTTTTTAAACTGCTTTACTGTTTTTCTGTGTACTGTCTCTCAACTTACTTTTAGATAAAAGATAGTATTTGTGTAATACTGATCTGACTCTGTAGGTAACTGTCAAAATAAATGAAAAGTCCATGTCTTCATGTCCTACTGTTTCATGATACTGGTTTCTATGTAAACATTCTTACGCAGTTAGTGTAAAGAGCCTTGTCAGTCACTATTCTGACCCAAATAGTATCTACCATTTCAAGTATTTTAAGAAATTGAGTAATTTACAAGCTTGAGTAATTTACAACAGAAAAAAAATGTTGAAGTGTCAACTTCCACCATTGTGTAGTCTGTGTATTACATATAAGTGTCTTTAAATCATCATTACAGAGATCAATTTAAAACAAAATACCCAATTTTTATTCAGCCCATTGCACTGAATATTTCTCCCCAAGGTACTATTGATGCTTTAAATTCTTCAGAGGTAAACCCTGCCTATAAATGTTACTGAGGGCGCAACAGGCTGGCCAAATGATTGCTACTTCCAAATTAGACAAAATGCTAGCAGACTTGAATAGAAACTACATATAGAACCAAATCAATACAACACTTAATAGTAGATTTAGCCATTAAATTATAATAGAATAGCACTAATTAGCTAAAAATGTAGAATTAAATCACTAACTTCATAAATTTCAGTTACAGCTAAAGTAAATACAATGCTTCTAACCAAGCCCTGTAAGTTGCAAGAAGCTTCCAAAAATCAGTGAGCTGAAGTCCTGTGCATCTGGACAAAGATTTATTTCCTTTTAATCAGACTGGTAAGTCAGTTCTACCACAAAAAAAAGTGTGTTTGTCAGAAAAAGTTCGTAATTTTTTTTAAAAATATCTCTCCTACACTCCAAATTACAACTTGTTATTTTTCCCTCTAGCAATATTAAAGCAAAAGACGATGCATGAAAATAGGAATGTTATTCTTCTATATGAAAAATAAATCATACCTCATTTTCCACATGAAGATCAACTTCACCAACACACTGCATAGAACTAAAGAAGTTACTGAACTTCTCATTAATTTGCTCAATCAGCTTTTTCAAGGGGTTTAACCACCTTTCTTTGACCTAGAAGTAGACATATCCATGTAAAACCATTTTAATAACTGAATTTTCCTTTACAGATGGCATTTAAATTCAAAAATATCATAACTACAGAAGCTAGCATCTCAGTTTACACTCAAGACAACTTGGAATGTTACCCTTTATTTCTGTACATACATTCTATTCGAATAAACACATACTGATACAGAAGTGATAATTTCAGCTATTACCTGTGAAATGTTTTGCTTATAGTTATCTAGTTCATTTTTCTTCTCCTCTAGATATTCTGTCAACTGTTCTACTTCTTGTGTCTGCTTATTGTATTCTTCAACAACCTGCCAGAATAAAAAACACAAGCAGTCAAGAAAATGTTTGCCAATTCTAACCTTGATTGTAAAAATATCACACCACATTGATTCTGTTGAGACACAATTATACAGATTATTGCACTGCACACTGAACAAGAAATATTTCCAGTTTTAAAGGAAAGAAACTGTAAAGCACTGCTTCTTTCAGGTTATTGCAACTTTTTTTTTTTTTAAAAAAGCCACAGAACACACTGTTCTTTTGGAAGAACCTACTTAAAATTCTAATAGATGCAGAATCTGGCATTTACAGCACATTGTTCCTGCTGTCTAGCTTATTATACCAAGAGATCTAGCACAGAGTGGGAAGCAAGTACAATACGGGTGGAGGGGGAGGAAGGGAGGGCAGAGGGAAAGCAGTGAACATACTGAACCATTCAGGCCTGTGAAACAGGAGGCCCTGGTTTTCTCTTCATTCAGAAAAGCATCAATTTCCTCCACCGTGGTCGGAAGATCCTGAAAAGCCTACAAGAGAAAGGACGTATGTGTTACACAGCAATGCTAATGAATGACTCAAGTTTGCTAAAAAGAAATCAAATAAGCCATAAAATATTCTATTACTTTTAATCAGGATGTCACATATTCAAAATTTAACACAGCAAGATTCTCTCAAACTATTCTGGACAGAGAAAAAAGACTAGAAGTGCTACTACATAACAAAGATACACCATTAATTGCTCCTTAGTTGCCTACCTTGTGCAGGTATAGATGCTCACAGACTTGGTATAAGCCAGGGCCTATGCTAGTTAAGGCATGCAAATACTTCCAGAGGCTGGGAAGAGCTTCAGTGAAGTAGGTGGGCCCAGAATTCAGTTCTTTTGTGTTGCTCCATTAGAGCAAGAAGCTAGAAAAATATGGCCTCTAACTATTTCTGTGAACGGAAGACTATGGATTTTAATTTAAATTTCAGATGAAATATTTTCTCCCCTGTGCACAAAACTGATAGAGGATATCCCAACACTATTTAAAGGTGCTTTAAAAGGGTAAGTGACAATACATGAGTCAACTAATAGAAGTACACATGATCCTTTACTTGTAGCCTTCTAATATAAAATATATAATATTCTTTGCTGGAGAAGACAGATTAGTGTACATCACCCAAAATTTAAAGAGATATGTGGAGATGCATTTTTGTACATACAGTTTGAAATTCTTTTGGAAGATGTTGATCTGGACTCAGTTTGCAGACCTGTCGAGCTTTTTTCAGCAATTCCTTGCAGTCCTCTGTAAGAACTCGTTTCCTATCATCCAGTTCACGAAACTGTTGCTGTTAGAAAAGATATTAAAGATATTAAAAAACACTTTTTCTTTTCTTATTTTCTTATAAAGTTCCAGAGCACACTGGCATCAAACAATATCCAAATCAGAGAATGTACGTGAAATCAGATTGCTTTAAGACTGAAAAATCTTTGTTTGAACACACAAAACTCATTCTGCCTCTCTGCTTGAAGTCGGCAGATGCCAAGGTAAACTGATCAAAAGCATGTTCTTGTAATATGGCTAAATTTATTTTCTTTCAACTAGAGAAGTGTGCATGTTGATTCAATATACGTCTCAAAATAGAGTATTTTACAGGAAATTCCCTATAACCCAAAACACAACTACTGTGAGCCTTGGTTTTTATTAGCTGCCATTTAACTGCATTTATCTGCTTGAGAGAACATGGTGGACATGAGGTACACTGAATGGTATTTTAGCTGAAATTTTACAGAGTGAACATCATAGTTACACAACCAGAAGTACCTCCTTTGGTCTTTCATATTCTACCTCTGTAATACAACAAAATACAAAACAGAAAGACACCTAGTTTTTAAAATAGTACTGAAAAATAAGTGAAAAGCAGGTACAGTTTCTGGTTTTGAACAGTGGTCTCAAGGCAAAAGTATTTGGAACTTACCATAGGTAGGTGGCCAACCCAGCTCTATGACTTTTATAACACAATGTCATCGCAACAGTAGTTAAAATACAATACATAAAATACGATGCCTTCATGAAAGACTAAGCTAATGATTACATCAAATAAGCAGTATTCAGCAAAAAACTTGGAGAGCCTTAAGTATCTCTTCCCCTCTGCCTCTAGAAATCTCACTCACTTATCTCTATACAGGCGGTCCCTACTGCAGGCCTGATGCTTCCAAATGCTGCAGTGGCGGTACTTGGGAGTAAACGCTTGGTCCTGCCTCTCAGCTCAGGTGAGCACTCGACTGCAGATAGCTGGGAGCTGCCAATCACGTAGAAGTGAAAAGGAGTACATACCAAGACACTGGAGCTTTTTAATCCAAGTTATTTTACTATACATTTAGTCAGTGATTACACATGCAATCCATCTTTAACAGACAGTCACGCCATGGGAATACACTGTTTTCACTTTTTTGAGAGGCACAAGATTCTAACTCATAATCCATATGCACAATATTTTGCTTCATAACTTTCTTCTGACAGTCTGGAAAGTTTAGTTATGTTCCTACACTTGGGAGGGCTTCCCAATTTTTATTGTTGTGTACTTCAGCTAAATATGGGAGCCCTCCAGTGGCAAAAAAATTTTCAAAGTGTTCACTTGGAAATTATACAGTTAGATAAATGTTTATTCCACATTTTTAAAATATAGGACACAAGACACTGATAGCAAATCACATTACTTTCTGGCAATTTAAATAGTTTATTTACTAAATATAACAGAAGCAGTAGTAACAGATACGATCATGAGTGATCATCAATGGAGTTCTCACACAGTCAAGAATTAGGGCTGCTGTTCTCTACACCGTATCAACTCAAAAATCCTGTTTTTCCTTCCCTCCACCAAGCACTAGCAAACAGATTTTGCGTTAGAGGTAAGCATTTCACAATCTTCACAAACATACTGTAAAGATCTTTTTCTACTGTGTTACTGTGTTCAGAAAGGTAAAAAAAAAATAAAAAGGAGCTTTTATAGATTCCCTCCCTCCCCTCCTTCATAAAGTCCATTGTACAGAAGGAAGGAAATATCACATGGGGGGCAAGAAGGACTAGCATTAGAGTTACACAGATAAAACAGCAATAGTGGAGGATGGCCCTCCTTTTGGTTACAGCCAAGTTCTTATGTCATCCTGAATTAGCACAAATAAAACTAGACCACAATGCTTAAGTTTGATTACATATCTGTATATGCCCTGTAATACATTCAATAAACAACTTTTTAGGAACATTTTAGAAAGTTCTAAATTAAAACTGGACTGTATTTTGGATCCCAGAAATTTAAAAGCCAACTAGCTTAATCTGAAATATGTCTGACCTCATGACAACAAAGGCAAAGGATCCAGTGAAAGGCAACACACCCATACTTTTTTTACATAAGAAATGTCAATTTTATATGTTTCACCATTTCCACAGCCAAAGTCAATTCTGAATCAATTGAAGTTGGGAATCTCAGTTCTCAATTCTGCATAAAGCTCCCACTTGAAACCCTGCAGAGCTGCATGAAACACAACTTCAATTTGATCTCTAGGCACCGAAAATCTGAAATATATTCAACATTGAATATGCCTGACCCAAGACTACGGCAAGTAAAATTCTTCAGGGTGTCAAAATGAAAATACACATTCGGGCAGAAGAAAACCTCAGCATTCAACAGAAAGATTAGGAAACAATAGACATTTGATGTGGTTATGAAGCACATACTAGAATAAATGCACTGACAGTTCAACAACAAGATTAAGTCTCAATTTTCATTCAGCTTTGCCAATTGATTGTCATGGCCACATGCTAAATAAAAGTTAGATAAATATAAATAAATAAAAATACACAAGTTTTGATTATTTCTCCTTCTTATATATTCAAAAGTTCATGGCAATGTTAGGGTTCCTGTTGATTTCCTGAAGGTGCCTCAATAAAACCATCTAGATAAAAAAGTAACTCTAAGTAGAAGAATTACCGTTTTGAACAGAGATGCTACCATGAAAAGTCATAGCCTAGACAGAGCTTTACATTTGTTTCAGCCAACGGCATAAGAACTAGCTTGGAAAGAGCTTTATCCAGGTACTTCAGGAAAGTTCTGTACTAGTGCAGGGCTGCAATTACAGCTTCCTGAAAGGCCTCTGCCAAACAGCAGAAACCAATTACATTCCGTATGCATAAGCAACCTGTATTCCATTGCGCTCATCAGTACTGCAACTAGTTTTGTGTGAAATAAGAAGCTAGTTAAAGAAAATATAGTTACTAGTAGCCAATGTTTTCTCATGAATTTGTGTTTGAACACATGCTTGGTGACAGCATTTAATTACTTGAAGTTTGGAAATTTATACATAGAAAAATCTGCATTTTCTTAAAACTTGGCTTAAGGAGCAAATGCTGTGACGTACATGCTGAGTATTAATACCAATTATTTAAACAAATTTAGTCCAAATGAACCTGAAAATTAACAAGCTATCAAAGCAAGGCAATTAGCAAGACTCTTTCAAACAACCATCATAAACATGCAGGCAACTGTGCCAATTATCTAACGAGCAGATGGGGCTAACAATCCTCCCTAATGTTCAGTATGGGTCAAAACCACAGATTTGCTCCTTAGGCTCATTAAATAGGTTAAATACAAGAAGTTGTTGAAGTAACACTAAGGTTCCCACTTGAACGGCAATGACAAAATACAAAGCCCAGAAATATGTTGTTGCTGACTTGACTTGTTCGAAAACACGTACTTTTTTGGCCTTCCCACCTAAGTGGTTAAGAAAACCCGCCATAAAGCAATAAACATGCTGCCCTATCTGCAGTATCCCAGTGCCAAGACTTCAAAAAAGGAACATATGTGATCTTCTCTTAGAGGTACTAAGTGGGGTTTGTGTTTGCTTCAAATCTTAATCAGGTATTTACTCAGGTATTATAAAGACTCAAGACTGCTCAGGAGATAAACATCATGAGTAAGCACTAAGTATCAACAAAGTTTCACAGCTTCTTTGGCTGATATCCACCATTCCAATTTCAATGCAATGAATGCACCACGACTAGCACGTGATCTACAAAAATGTCTGAAGATTAAATAGAGAATTAATGGTCCCATATTTATAACATTTGGGCTCCAATTTAGTTCACTACACAGCTTTTGTACAACATATTTATTTCTATTTCTGTTTGGCTTCCATTTTTTTGCAGGTTTATTTATTTTATAAAAACATGAAGCAACTGTTTGCAAGACTTCCCCAAAGTTTTGCAATGGCATCCTCACAGGCAGCTTTGGAGTAAGGCTACCTTAACACAGTACTGCTGTAGAAAAAAAATTTATCACAGCCAAAGCCACTACGAAATTGGAGGGAAGGGCCAATTTAAATGTACTATTTCAAAAAACACTTAATTTGAGATTCAGTTTTCCCCATGAAACTTCATCTTTTACGGCAGAAAATAACAAATAAACCACAAAGTGTAAAACATACATCATTCACAGGGCAATACAGTAAAGAGGACTTCTGAAAAAACAGGGGTAAAGACAATTCAAAGACTCAACATGCACTATATGGGAAGTGTGACTTTGGATTTCTACTAACATGAAGACTTAAGATGCACTTGAATAGTCAGAGGAGTTTTCCTCCAGAGCAGTTAAACTTCTCAAAATTCTAATCACTGAGATTACTGATTTTGTTTTTTTTTTTTTTTCTGTTTTAATGTTCCTAGGATCAACCATCCAAAATATAAGCTCTGATACGATTTTCTCTACTTATGTGGTTGAATGTAACCCAGTAACAATGATCAATGGGACCTCAGCTGACTCAAACATCTCCTCACTACAGAAGGTGGAAATTTTTGTTTAACCAAGAATTATCAGAATGTTTACCTTACAGGCCCTATCTACTGATCTGACCAAAAATCTACCTATGCAGTAGCCCAAACTACTCTCTAAACGATGAAGATGGGGATAGAGAAAACTAAAAACACTAAATAAATTTCACATTGATGATACACACTACTTACATGAGGTTCACAGCTCAGTAAGACATTTTTACTCCTTACTGAGCTCCAGCAATGAAGCTATTTGCACTGGGTTTTGATAAAGTCTGAGTAACAGCTGCATTGTGTGACAGAACTGATAAAACAGTGATTTTCCAAGTAATATGCTAGACTTGCCCTGTCTTCAAGCTAGTTTTTGCTCCTCTTAGGAAGTTCTCTTCCTAATTTTCCTGCAAGTGATGATACCTATAACCTCAAGTGGTTTTCTAAATACATGCCAAGGTGTCCTGGTTTCAGCTGGGATAGAATTAATTTTCTGCTTAGTAGCTGGTACAGCATGTTTCAGATTTAGTGTGTGAATAATGTTAATAACACACCCATGTCTTAGTTGTTGCCCATGTTTTGCCAGCAAGCAGCTGCACAAGAAGCTGGGAGGGAGCACAGCCAGGACAGCTGATCTGAACCAGCCAAAGGGATATTCCATACCATAGAACATCATGGTCAGTATATAGACTGGGGGGAGCTGGCTGGGAGGGGCTGATCACTGCTCAGGGATTGCTGTTCAGGTATTGGGCAGTGGGTGGTGAGCAATCACATTGTGCATCATTTGTCTTTTGTTGGGTGTTATTATTTTGTCATATTCCTTTTCATTGCAATTACAATTATTAGTAGTATTAGCATTTTTTATTGTTAGTATTATATTTTAGTTTAGTTATTCAACTGTTCTTCTCTCAACTCATGATTTTTACTCCCCCCCTAATTCTTCTCCCCATCCCACTGGAGGAGGGTGGCGTGAGCAAGTGGCTGTGTGGTGTTTGGTTGCTGGTTGCGGTTAAACCACGACACCAGGTCATTCTTTTTGCAAGTGCATATCCATCCAAAATGACTATGACTTACTCTTTGAACTGCTTTCTAATTTAACAGCAATTTTTTTTTTTGTGGATCAAATTGAATGAGCAGTAGGTTATGGTTAGCCTGACTTTTGCAAGATAAGGAAAAAAAACTTAACATCCTCTACTTTGACAGTTTTTTGCCCAGTACGTTGAAAGATTGTACTACTATACAAATACAAAAGTTGACCTCTATGCACCAATCCATGAGAGATCACAGCACCCTCTGCTCTTAGAAAAGCATACTTGTCTGTAGAACTAATTGCTCAGAGACTGTCTTTCTACCTGAACACAGCATAGCTTCCTAATATGATCAATAGAAGGACTGTTATCCTCCTTTCTGTCCTCCAAAAAAGGCATTTAATTACAGTATGAGAAAATAAGCTATGAAAGAAAGGTAAAACAGCTCTGCTTTACTCCGACACAGTACTTTCTGGTTCATCTTGAGCTTGCATCTCCCATGTGGGGTGGGGCTACTTGTGTATGACAGACTTGGAAGAAAAAGAACACTTCCAAATAACAGCTATCCTTTTTACACACACTATGCATTATAACAAAAAGATCCAGGACATGATGACTGTTTAGCACATTTTCACAGGAACTTAGTTGTCTCAACTGAGGAAGGCAAAGTTCCTTTTCTCCTTTAAATTAAGAGGCAGAAGTCAAGCCACAGAAATCGAGGCTAAGTATTTAGCAGTACTAATAGCCATTTCTAAACAAAGACACAGAAGCATCCTTTCCTACACCATAAAGGCCTCCACAGAAGATGTTTTCATAGTAGATATCCCAGTATTCATAGAAATGGTTACCTCTGCAGCTTTTAGCTGTACACTTGCTGCTTTACACTCTGATTCTAGTCTGTTCTTCTCAGCAGCCACTGTAGTGCTCTGAAGAACCAAATCTGCTTTGAGGATGTTCAGTGATATGCAATTCTACACAGGAAAACAAAAAATGTCATTTATTTCCACAAGAGACTCAAAACTGTTATAATCGCAACAGGCTTTAGAAACTATCCATTTTTAGTCATAGCATACAATCTCACACTGTGTTCAGCTCTTCAACACTGCTGTCTGTTAAATTCAATGAAAAAGAAAGGTGATTTATTAGTGACCCAAGCTCTTCAAAATGTATAGGCCCCATGTACTTTTAATCTGTAAGCATATACGTATCACTTGCAACCAAACCATTTTACAGCAGAAAAGTACATTCTCTTTCTCTACGCCATATAGTCACATGTGAAATGTGAGAAAATACAAAGCCATCTCAATTCTTTCTCAGAGACAGAATCCAACAGGTGGATTTGGTGGACTTCATGAGCCACACACAGGGATGGAAAAAGGATGAAAAATAAACACGTAAGATATATGCCCCTCTCACTGACCAGGTAAGATGACTGATCAGCTGTACAGTGACTCTAGTGTCTTCTGTCTTAACTGGAAGAGTACATGACAATGGAGGGAGGCTTGATTTTGGAAGTTTCGCTAAACTTTAGTGATCCCCAGAACCTGGTTTGACAATTTTGACATTAAAATAGTTGCTTCTTTAAACAAGTCAGCCTCAGGAATGGTCTAGAGGCTTCAAAATCAGCATTGATTCTTGACTCTGTGAAGGTTAGGTTCAAACCTCGAACTGTGGGCCATCGAGAACAACAGTTTACCATTTATTCTTATGTTAAATGATTGGCATATAAATATAAAGGAATGCTCTCACTTAATGAAAGGGAGGACAAGATTCCAACTGTAGACCTGGGAGACCTGCAGGATGAAGTTTTGAGAGTGTTAGCTTCTGACCACCATAGCGAGCGAAGGTCTGAGATGTTTACTACTTGTCATTTCAACACAAAGTTTCTACAGTCTGAACTTGGACAAAGGAATAAGTTGATTTGTTTCCAACCCACTTAAACAGTTTAAAAACAATTATCAAAGAAGTAAACTGAAAAATAAGCTGTAATGAAAGGAGATGAAAAACAGAAAAAGTTAAGATTATTCAAAGCCAAATGCACAAAGAGAACTACATGCAAAACCAGTGCCAGAAACTGAAACAGTGTAACAAGGCTCTTTCTGTCAACTGGTTGTAAAGTATTGACATGTACTAAGTACGTGCCAGGTACACGCTGCCTTGTGTATTTATGTAAATATACAGGTAGCCTGTTGCTCTAGTTGACTGTTGCACACAAGCCCCACAACTCCCAAAAAAGTAGATCATGTTGCCACCTTGCAAACACAAAAAAGCCCATACAAGTTTTAACTTTCCTTCTGTGGCAGAAGTGCATATGCCTGAAACATATGACTGCTTAAGTTTTTATTACTTTAATATCCTGCAGCTAGTATAGCTACAAAACCTACTGAAGAAAGCACAAAGACTCCCATAAAGTTGGAAGTGTTTGTGAAGTTTGGTTTGGAGGTGACCAGAAATGTATGGACTTCAATTTTGATAAAACATACAATGAAACATCTTTCTCGTATCAGACCATTTTCTTCTCTTCAGTATCTACGACCATATATTTCCTACAGCACATACAGTGTGAAAATTAAGCTGAAATAAATCTCTTTTGTAATCAGTAACTATTTCAGGCAAACACCATCCATCCTCCCCTACAGCCCTAGTATACTGAGAAATACACAGCATGTGTCAAATCCATTTTCCTGTACCGGGTGGAAAAGAGATTAAGACACTCCTTCAGGCAGGTCACAGAGCAGTCATTAAACAACTTCAGCTGCACTTCACAACAGCAACATGCTTGGACAGTTTACATACTTGGAAATGGGCATCAAATAAAAAAAAATCAAAAGCATGTTCTAGAAATTTCTGTTTTAAATACAGAGCATTTGCACAAGTTTTGAAAACAGTTACTTTTCAGTATTGTTATTACCTGCACCAGTTCTTTAAGTTCTGTAAAGTAATCTACAGCCTAAGCAATCCTTTTAACATGGCAGGTGTCTTCTGCCATTCTTTGGCATTTTCAAAATTGCTTTGGCTAGCTGACCAAACAGTGATCTCTGAAACAGTCCAATTGTTGCAGTCTATGCCTATCAACAAACAGAAACAGCCGACCCATTTGGAATATTTCTTTATTTATTACATAAATACCAGCAACTGAAGTGTATCGAAATCAGCCTGTCTTCAAAGGTAATACTCAACTCATTCAGGCATAAGCAAGAATACATTTCAACATCAGTAAGGCATAACAAAGGAAAAACATACATGCTTAAAAGTGGTTGCAACAACAGCATTTCCTGGTCAGTGAAAAAGCACAAGCAGATTCCCTCGGAATTAAAAGTAACTATTTCTTGTTCCTTAGTTGTTAAAAAAAAAAAAAAAGAAAAAAATTTCACCTTGTGGCAGCTCCCATTATTAGGGCTTACCAGCTAAACCAAAGCAACAATTAAGTCCAGACTGTTTTCTTCTTTTCTGAGTCAAAGAAAACCTCATGACATTGCAGCCTGAGACTTGCGTTTTTCCCATCCTAGCCCTCTTGCACAATCACAGATCCCTACAGTTTCAGGTAAATTTTTCACATCACTAATGACTACTTTTTTTTCCCAATAAAAACAAACAAGAAAAGGAGATTATGAACTAGGGTAGAAGGAAGAGTTCACAGAATTATGCAGTCTTCTGAAATGTACAGGCTTAAATGGTTACACAGTTCATTCCTGTATTTACTGAATCAGAGCATGGATTGTAAGACTTCAGTCACAGAGTCTAAATCAATGCAAGGAAGTGATCTACAAATCAAATCAACGACAGATGAACAAGTTCAAGTTCATAAAAGCTTCAAAAGATGTTTATCTTGAAGCAAGTTAACTTGTAAACATTTACAGTAACACATCCAAATGTTGTATATCTCCTACTTAAGTTACAGGAATTGGTATTTTCACAATCGTGGAACACATACCAAGTTAAAAATACATACCTTTACGAGATGCATTAATTCGGTAACAAGTCTTGCTTTTTGGATATTTATTTCTTTGATCTTTACATTTGCCTGTTCAGATTCCTTCTCTAGGTTGATAGCATCTTGTTCCAGCTGTTTTAAACTACAGGAGGAATCAATATTTGATTAATCCTGATTAAAAATAAACTGTACAAAAATAAAAAAATTCCCAATCTTGGTGATGAACCAACAGTTAGCAAGAATAGGAATTTGTATATCTAAACATTCCAAACACATTAGAGGCATTCCCAATCTATGCACTTTAAACTTAAGAAATTCAAAAGACAAAAAATTAATTATTAAAGAAACTCTGATTTTGGCTACTGAAGGCATCATTCAGCAACCTGAATGAATCAACTCCTTTACTTCTGTAAATTTCACATTAAGGAAAAAAAAAAATAAAATCAGTGTAAGGATGACATTTTTCTGCTGCTGCTAGTTCCTTGCAACAATACAACACAGAACAGCCCAGGAGGTTTGCTTAATTCTTGTTATATATAGTAGCAAAAAAACCCCTGTGTCCTCAACTTACTGCAGAAAACCAGGATTTTCACTCATTTCAAACCTCAAAAACATGCAACTATGAAGAACTTCATATGAAATAATCACAATGTTTAGTGAGCTGCAAAGTTATTTGGGTATCTTGAAAAACGGCCAAACAGGCCAAGAGGATGATCCAGGAAACTATAAACTAATCATTCCCAGTTCAACCCCTGGGAAAATTGGGGAGCAAGTCCTCCTAGAAAACAATTCTAGGGGCCGAAGGGAGAAGGTGATCAGAAAGAATCAGCAAGCATTTACCAAGGGTGCCCGATGAACCCAATTGTAAAACGACTGGATGACAGAGGATCAAGTGGTTGCCATTTACCTCAATTTTAGCAAGACATTCTGGTAGGTCATCTGATAAAAGCTCACCTGCACACCCAAAAAGGAGAGAGAATAGCAGGTGGGGAAATCCCAAATAATATCCTACTCTGGTTACCCCCAGGCCCATCTCAGGAGCCATCAGCCCATAAAATACCAATCTCCGCAAGTCCAGAGGAGCACAGGAGCATCACAGCAGGCAGGAATCCAAATTAAGGACTCTGAGGAAGGGACACCCTGTTCCAGGACAGCCTCAGCACCAGTGTCCAGGTGTGAAACCCAACAAGATAAGTCAACACCACAGCACTCTCTGGACTGAGCGGGGTTGTTTCCCAGGGGTATAGGAGACATTACGGGACACAGCAGAAAAGCATTTTGTGACTGTGCAGGACTTACTACTGGATATTCAGGGGAGAAAACAAATGCAGGAAAGGTGGGGATCTAGATGACTTGGAGAGGAACAAGTGTGGGAGAACAGAGGGATATGGGGTAAGAGGGACAGTTACATGTAAATAGTTGGCTGGTCAATATGCTCGTCCAGCCATGCCTAATTGGCACACTCTCTTCTTATTTAATTCCATTCTTCACTTTTCCTGGGTAAGGGACTCACTATTCAGCATTTATGTGTGTGTATGGGAATCTAAGTGCAAGCAACTACAATCTGAACACAAGTCAGAGGAGAGGGCCTGCTTGTCTGTGGTGCGAGCAACTGGAGAGACTGGAGTGAGCAGACTTAAGTGACAGCCACTGGAATGAGACCACAGGTCAGAGGGCCATGTGTCCATGGTGTCAGCACCCCGTACAAGTGCAGGCATACAAGGGAGCGTTTGACCCCTAGAGAAGACTAAGCCAGACTAGCCAGCAAGTAGGTGAAGTAGCCTGGGAGCCAAGGGGGTACGCATGTCATTAAGGGCGAGACCACACGAAGAGATGGCTATTGGAGGGACCAGGGGAGTCCAGCTTGTCCCAGAAACTATGAGGTCTGCTGTCTCTAGGGGTGAGACCTGCTGGTATGTGTACGTATTTAAAGGCAAGATGGCAGGGGTACTGGCTATTGTGGGAGGACTGGGCAAGTCATGGCCACCTCTGGACATTTGTATGCCTGTGTGTCTCTGAGGGCAAGATCAATGAGTTGGCTACTGGGAAATCAGGGAGTCCCAGCCACTTCTGCATGCTTGTGCACACGGGTGAGTGAGGCAACCTGTACAGGGAAGAGGAGTAGGGCTGCAGCCTCAGTGGTTTGCATGTCCAAGTACCAGCAACTGGGGAGACTGAGGTCCAGGGGCAGCTACTGTGCAGACTCAGTGTCTGGACCCTACAGCTGATGGAATCCATATTGCCCATACGTATGTGTAGGAGCCTCGGTAGGGCAGCCTCGTCCTGCTCAGATAGATAGGAACATAACCAGGCCACTGGTACTGTGTTTGCCCAATTGCTGTGTGTCCGTCTGTGCTCTATGGCTGGCCTGTGTAAATACATACATACGTGCTGTTCAGATGTTTTAACGTTTACTGGGAAGACAGGCTCAGCCTCCCTACTGGTTGCACCTGGGAGCATTAAGCTGCATCAGCCCCACCTTCCGCTCAGGGGAATGGATCCGGATCCATTCCCCTAACTTTTTTAATGCTGTCTCCCACAATATCGTGTACTCAAATTGGAAGACTACAGTCTGGATGGATGGAAGACTAGATAGGTAAAAAAAAAAGTGGTTGGTCAGGCTCAGAGGGTCATTGTTAGTCTGTGTATTCTGCCTGGAGGCCAGTATCAAGTGGGGTACCACAGGACTAAGTCCTGCGACCTGTCCCATTTAACATCCTTGCCAGTGCCATGGAGGAGCAGACAGAGGGTACCCTCATTCAGTTTTCAGATGGCACTAAACTGGGAGGAGTAATAGGCCTGCTGTTCAGAGGGGTCTCCTGAGGCTGGAGGAAGGGGTCGACAGAAGGCTCACGAGATTCAGCAAGGACATATGCTTTCTTGCCCCTGGGAAGAAAGTGGGTCTGGCAGTGATACGGGCTCGGGACAGACTGGCTGCGGAGAAACTCTGCAGGGAAGGACTGGAGGTATTGGTGGACAATGAGCTGAGCGTAAGACAGAGGCGTGCCCTGGCAGCAACAAGGTCCCCCAGCATCCTTGGCTGTATGAATGGAAGCACAGGCAGAAGGACAGTGATTTTTTCCTCTCTGCTCAGCACTGTACCAAGTTTTTCCCCTGCCCTAAACCTCAACAGACTGGAACAAACTTGGAAAGCAAACAAGATGGTCAGGGGCTACAGCACAGGCGTTGCAAGGACAGGATGAGAGTGTTCAGCTTGTTCACCCAGTACAAGACACAGCTTCGGGGCACCTAATAGCAGCCTCCCACTACCCTTCCCCACAAGAAAGCCTCTGACAGGATGGAACCAGGCTCTTATAAGAGGTGCATAATAGAAGGATGACAGACAGTGGACGTAAGTTGAAACAAGAAAGATCCAAACTGCATGTCAGTAGAAACTTTTTCCCCATAAGGACAGTCAAGCGGTGAGTGGAACAGGATGTGCAAACAGGTTGCACAATCTCCATGGAGACTTTAAAGGTGCAGTGGGATACAGCCCTGAAAATCTGGTCCGAATTCAGTGTTGACCTTGCTTTGAGAAGATGGCTAGACTACGGACTACATGAAGTCCCTTTCAACCTAAGTCACCCTGTCATTGTATATTACTTTCAAAATTATATCCAGCTTAATCAGATATTCATGTTTCTAATTGATATGAGTATTTGAAAATAGTTATATTCACTGCAAGGATTATTTAAATAATTTCTATCTCTACAGAAAGACATCCACGTTATAGTAAGAAAATTTGTAACAGCCTTGTCTGAAATTGTTTCAGGATTCTTACTGCTAATCAAAATTTAAAGTGTAACTATTTTTTCAGAGGGAAGGACTTAATCAATATTTGTTTAGGTAAAGGGTCCACCTCCTGCCTTCAAACCATATTCTGTACTCTGTTAAAACATCATGACAATACACATATCCCTATTAAGAAACCTGAGAGCAATACTTGGCTTTGAGGCTAAGCTCACATCCACAGTGTTTAAAGCTGCTTCTTTCACAGCAACCTGGACACTTGTGACTATACAGCAGTTGATTCTGGTCCCTCCAACATCCCTGCAGCTCTATTTTTCTTTTCTTTTTTTTTTTTTTAGCTCTCCTTTTTACCCTCTCAACACTCTCTTTTCAGTTTAATGCACGGTAAGTAATGCAAGAGCTGTGCACACAAGCACCAGCACTAACTTTCAGAAAATAAAAAGTAGTGTGGCATAAGAACATATGGGAGCATTTGAGGGTACAAGGTCTGCTAGGACTGTGTTACAGGACTGACAGGAGTGAAGCATGGGGCAATCTCATCTACACTGCCTTCTGGGAGTCTGAGCTTAAGTGAAATAGCTCTTGAACCATGCCCAGGTTCTCTCTTATGACAAAGGGGTAACAGAAGAACTAATTGCAGAGGCCTACAAAACCAGAAACTACGTCAAGACAAATACTGTGGACAATAAGGGTCCAACTTGATCCCTGATGTGCTTACTTAGTACCATTTATGTACATTATGGTAGTATCTAGATATGTGCTACCAAGACAGAAGACTATGATAATATCTGAGTAACTGAATGCAATGCTCTCTCACTGGAATCCTATGATCTAATCACAGGAAACCATCTGGAACATTGTTACACTGTTTCTTAACTACCGTCTTAATCAAGACAAAAAAGGTGTTTAGAAATGGAGATTATCGCCTGTATCTGATGCTCAACTGCTGGTTACTTTGTAAAGGCAAAAGCACATTGCAGTAAGAGGAATTCAAAACACCTGTGTTATTAAAATTGTTCAGGTTTCATAGATAATATAGCTTGTTTCCTACCTATCATGCTTGACAGCAATTTTTGATTCCAACTGTCTCCTCCTGTTTCTTCTCTCTAAAAGCTCCTTCTTCTGTTGCCTGAGCTCATTGTCTCTACGTTCCAGATGTTTCTGTCTCTCAAACAGTGTAGTCAAACGCCCACCCAATGACTTTAACGTGTTATCAATGTCCTGAAATAAAAGAACAAACAGCACTAGCATTCTCACTATAAACATACCATATTAACACACGCAAGTAGGCTATGCTTATTGCACAATAAAATGGGTAGTAGTTCACATCGTATACAGTACATAAGTAAATTCCTACCTGCTGCTGGTTTTCCAGTTGTCTTCTTTCATCTGTATCTACTGAACTAGTGAGAAACCGTGCTGGCCTCAGGGATGTGTTAGTAGAGACGGTTAGGTTTGTATAAGCAGATACTTTAACAACGTATTTTTCTTCTGCTGTGTATATTTGTCTAAGTTTCGTTTCTTGTATGATCTAAAAAACACACAAATATTAATTTGACAAAAGCGTTACTTAAGGCAATGCTTTTCAGAGCAGGGAATAAACTGTCTAAAATCCACAGTAAAGAACTTCAGCTTATGCAAAACTCTGACTTGTTAACAGGCCTCTGCAAAAAGATGATCCTAAGTTTAATATATCATTATACTTGTAATTCAGACCAGTCATCAAAAAACTGTTAAGATACTATCAGAGTGTGCTACCATAGCCAATTAAACAGGTTCTGATTATTCTGATATTACAGATAGACACTAGAAATCTTAATATTTGTACTGCATTATGAATGACTATACTTCCTGTGGATGCATAACATGCAAATGTAGCCTTTGTACTGACGGACCAAAAGTAATTAAGAAATTAATAGAAGAAACCGTAAGGTAAGCCATAAAGCATGAACTTCAGTCAAGCAAAGGTATCTGTAGGAAAAAAAAAAGGTATAAAAATACTAGAGTTTTATTTAAATAACTCATGTCAAAAAGGGTATTACAAATAACCAAAGATTTGGCATAACGCAAGGTAATACAGTACTTCAAAAGGATATAAAGTGTCCAGTAAACAAGGAACAGCAAAAAGCCTCCATAGGACAACATAAATTTGATTAAAGATATTTTCAGTTTCTATACACAGCACCAGCTATATTCTGTTGATTTGGTTCGTGAACACAGAAAACCATGTTACTTTGCTTTACAGCTCAGACTGTGGCTGATAAGATTTCCATCCTGGTCCTTTTTCCACATGCCTAGCTCTATGAAACAGGTCTTCTTTTAAACTGAACCTTTCTCTGGCATATGTGAAATAAAATATTGCAAACAATGCATTTCTCAAAAATAATAAACAACTTTACACAACTGAACTGAGAAAGTGCCATGTGCAACACACTCAGAATAGTGGCTCATCTTTGCCCTAGACCAATGATTTTTCACTTGCTGCCCACATAGCTCCGGAAAGGAGGGAGTATCTAAGGAGTAATTCTGACTGGTTTACAAAACATAACTCAAAGATTTATTGTATAGATAATCTGTTTCATCAGGTGATAAACACAAAGTGGTGGAAGAATTGCAGTTTAAAGATGAGAATACTTAGAAAAAACATTAAGAAAAGAGCTTTTCATCTAGGACTCCCTCCACTTTTACTTTCCTCTCCCTCATTCTTAAAAGCCTCAGAAACAGAAGATGGGTAGGAGCAACAAGTGTTGCAATAAACCAGGAACTGCTCTCTATTCACAGAGCCTGTTCCTTAAGTTTCTCAAAAAAGCAACTCCTACTGTTCTCAGAGAGCCCAAAGCAAGTCTTCTGAATTCACAGAAGAGTTCACTTTAGTACAAGATAGACAACAGATGTCCAGCACAGACAGGTAAGTGAGTAAGTATTTAAGTTGAAAACTGTCATGTGTGTTACCCATTATAATCCAGCAACAGTGATCCTGCAAGAACTCAAAGACTAAGGTAGGGAGATTACTCGTAGTCAGAGCCCTTAGCCTATTTCTAAGAATCCAAAAGTTTACATACTATTTATCGCATCAATTTTGACTGAAGCTATACAACCATATTTGCCAGAAACTGAACATCTTAATGTATTAAAATGAGGAAAAAAAGCAGCTTCTAATTGTTGCTTTAAACACAACAGGTCAGCATTGTCATGTAGTATTAATTGTTTGATTAAAATTTTGCCCAGAATTATCTCAGCTACTTAAAGTAGAAGCTATTATAATAAAACAACTTCATATAACTGACTTGGAACAGTACGCAAGTGAAAGACATATTTAACTTTCTGTGAAGTACTGCAATAGACTGACTGAATTTGTTAAAATTTCTTCCAATATGTTTGTGCATAATGAACTGTTCTCATGTCTAAAGGCCAAATAAAAGTCTTAAGCAACTTTTTGCTTTCTCCACATGAACTTGCCAAAGAATTTCCAAAATAAAATTCTAGACCACAGGTGTGTGTGTGCTATTTAGGACATCTCACCCTTTCAATCATGTTTCTGGTCTTCTCTGTTCCAACAGGGACATCATGAACACTGTACTGGGAGCAAAGATAACTCATGACAGGACGAGGAGCATCAAATAATTCTCGTAAATATGAGAAAAATCCATATCGGCTGAGGAGGAGGAAAAAAAAAAACATCCATCAGAAATAAAATCTGGCAGGTAAGCAAGCTGAAGTTACTGAAGGGTCCGAAAGAAGTTCCGTTAACCCAGAACTGAACTGGTGAAAATTTGATTTGCATAGAAAATTCTAATATATAGCAACAACACCAAAACATTGTATTTAATACCATTCCCCACTGACATAATTTGATACATACTGTAATTCTTCAATAGGTCTCGAAGGTAACCTTTCAGCCCATGATTCAGCAGGTGCGCATACAGCATTCACTCTTAGTTTTTGATGATCGCGCATCTAAATTTAGATTACATTAGATTATTTGGTAAAAAAGAGCAGAGAAATTCACTATTTGAAAATCAATTATTTATTCTTGATTCACAGAATCAGAATTATTTTAAACTGACAACATCTGGAAGAACCCACAAAAATCCACTCTGGCTCAGTCATGACTGAGTTCTCTAAAAGCCAAGCTCGGCTAATGTCTCTCTGTGAAAACATCATGCATTAGAGAAAACAAAAGCAACAAAAGAAATCCAGAGCCAGGTGCTCAATCTGAACAGCGAAGCTGTATGTAATAAGGAAGCCTCCTCTTTCAGGCTGTATGGCCATTTTGCACAGATAATGGCAGACCACTGGCTACAAAGGCTCTGAAAAGCCTCATCCTAACAGGGCAGAAAAGATCAAGGATACAAATGAAAGATCAGTTTAGCTGATTAAAGCAACCTTCCACTAGGTTCCACGACCACGGAGGCAAGACAAGCCCTCAGAATCTCAGATATCAGCACTACTGTTCACATATATAAGAGTGACTAGCTTCTGTGAAGGGCAGATAGGTCCTCAAAAATTGCAGGACAGTTTGTCATTAATCACACTACTCTGTGGACAGTAGTCAGAACGCATTATGACAGATAATGTAGTATCCTGTGGCTTTTTTCTCCTGCATCATCTCTCTGGCTCTCAAAGGGAACAATCTCTTCATCACTCCAGGAAACAGTGGTATTAAGAAGTGTAAGCCTGATTTGCTGCTTGGACCATTGTCTTCTCACAAAAGATGCCCTCTCGCCTCTTTAGTCAGGAGGTATTGGAAAAGCTTGGTACTAAGTTTGTAGCTTCCTGTTCTTGTCATTTTCTTGTACACAGTGTTTTCTCCTCAGTGATTACTGCCTTGACAAGGAAGACAAAAATAATTTCTAAAAAGAAGTATTTTCTTAATATTCCTGCATCCCTCCCGTTGGTCTATGCTTTAAAAAAAAATCTTACTCCAGAAAAATCGTAATCCAGAAGAAAATCTTTGAATATTTTGTATTAGCTATTGTGCTGATCTTGCCAATCAAAACTTAATAAACACAGACTTACTTGGTAGACTCCAAAGTTTAGGGCTCCTACATCAGTATTTAATCAATTTTTAAAACTGGTGCCTACTTGCCTCCACAAGAAACATCTCCATATCTTCTCGACTCTCAAAAACGAAAGCCCTCATGTCATTGGCCGAAATATGATTTTCAACATATTTAGCATGTCTATTGTCTTTCATATTGATCTGATGAAGAAAGGTAGTGACAAAGTGATTCAATACAATTGGACTTAACACCCCGCCCCAAACATTTTAAGCAGCCAGATGATATCCAAGCCTACATTTAAGGAAAACAAAGACAATCTTTAAATGGCTTTAAAGACATATTCCCTGTCTTTTTGCAACCAGTTCTCTTGGAAGGAAACCTACAGTAACTCACATGTCATTGTGTTTAGCGTGTAGCCATCCATATATTTTTTCAGCATTCCTGGAACTATCACTGTCTCCACCATACCACCTCCTCCTCTTCTGTTCAACTCTAACCTTACAATTGCAACCACTACCATCTCATGTCTAGCAGCTCGGCTCCAGTACCACTAAAGGTATCTCACTGTTTCGAAACAATTAACCTGAGGAATCTAAAACAAAAAAAAGCCACACTCCCAAAATTACTTATATGCAGTTCCTTTTGATTTGGACACAGTGAACATCACCAAATGCAAATACAGAATTGTGAAGCCCTAGAAAGACAGATATTCACAGGTTAATTGAGTTATTTTCTAATTCTTAAAAAAAAAATTATAAAATCCACAGTTAAGATGGATGAAGCTTTTCATATCTGAATGAAATGTTAATGTTAGAATTCTTCAGTAATTCTCACTAGTAATGAGACATGATGTCACTATACGTGACATACAAAGGCAAAATTACACAGAACTACACAATTTAATAACCTCAAGTTAGCCAAAGGCTGGATACCTTACTAGCAATTTGAAAGCTAGAAATTATAAGTACATGAGACTAACTTACATTATATCAAAGACAACAAATTCAGACATTAGTGGAGGTCACAGAGGTTAATGAGGCCTTACAGTAAAAGTAAAGGCATCCTATCAAGGCATTTGTAAAATTAACTTGATGGGGTCTTCCAGGAAGAACTGAAAGTTCCAGTACTAACAGGAAATACTTGGTATTTTATACTAAATAAAAGTAATTTTGAACAGTTCTAGCGCATGCACAAAGTGTAAGAATTGGTATACAAATATTCAACATTCAACTAATTTAAATTGTAGCAATACACTATTAAAATAAGCTTGCAATTCTGGACAGGAAGAGGAGGAGTGCACTGGAGTTCATCCTCTTCACATTACATGGAGCATATATTGCAAGAGGCTGGAATAATGGTGGAGGAATGTACCAGAAAACCAATAGTCTCTTTGAAAATTTAGCCCTGCTATTCCTAGCTAGCACAGCACCTGTTGAACCAAAACACAAAACAAACCTAGGGATAGATTAGGTGTTTGTGTTTCTGTAGCTGGCTATGCAAAACAAACCACAAAAACACCTGGGGATCACAGTGACATGTTTTAACCACTGTTGAGTAGGTTGTGCTATAAGGGGAGGTATTCAGTCATAACTACCACTGCTTTTTTAAGCAGCAAGTAAGAACTACTTAAGTCTAAATAATTGGATGCACCTTAGAGGAAATCCGCAATGGGCACCTTAATAAAGGACTGCTCCTTGAGGAGGGAAAGGGAATGAAGCACCCTGTCTTACTCAATGTTAAGTATTACTACATTGCCTACAGAATCAAACTTATAAATAGTTCATCATGCTAACTTATTCCACATGTAATTGGCAGCTCATTTCAAGATGTGTCATGAAAGTTTTACAAGTCATTCTTGAAGTCTTGCAAGGCATGAACAAACTAAACATTAATTGGTTAGAGTGATATGCAAGTAATTTTCTTACTTCAAGCATCATGGGTTCACAAACTTTCTTTTTAAACTTGTCGTTGTTCTTTCTTAGCCACATGAGAGCAGAGTGTGTGTCTCGGAATCTCCCTTTAAGATTCTCTTCCTTCATATTCATTATATTATTAAGTTGTTCAAGGCAATTAATTATTCCTGTAATTTAAGGCAGTTTCTTAAACAGAGTCCACAGCAAGTATACATTATAACCAGCATTGTCAATAAGTATTGGACTATGGTACTCAAGCAATATGAATGTTAGGAGATTATAAGAATTAAGAGTTTCTCTTTCCACAGTCAAGATGCTGCTTATTCTAAAGAAATCTTAAGAACTATTAAACTTAAAATCTAAAATAAAATGAAGACTTACCCAAAGGATAACGAAATGTGGTAGCACAGTAAAAACACAGGAATTTAGTCCTAAAAATGTATCTTCAAAACTTTTTCTACCTTTGTATTTAAAACAAAAAATGGCCCAAGAGGAAAGAGGTAGTGGAACTAGCAACACGGAATCTGAGTGCTATTTCCCGCTTGCAGAAAACAAAATGTGTGACAAAAGACTGTGTGTGAAAGCATTTTCTATTTAGAAAAAACATACTTAATTTGCTTCTCAAGGTAAAATATACAGTGTCTCCTTCCCTAGGTCACTTGGTCTCTCTGTATCTCAGTTTCTTCTTGGATTCTATGACAAGTTAAGTGTCAGACAGATAGGTACATGCAAGTGTGCTACACTCATGAGGAATATATACCACACCCTCTACTTGCCAAGCTATAATTTTTGAGTTTTGTTTCTTACAAAGAACTAATTGTAAATCCTAGGCTACTATAAAGGAATTTACTGTAATTAAGGTCAGCTGAAGTTCATTTAGAAAGGACAAAAGCAGCATCAGTCACTAATATACTGCCAAAGAGATCATTTCAAACACTGCATCTTCAAAGCAAACTGCTTTTGCTTCAGGTTTGGTTTTTTTGTATCCTGCTAACGGTATAAACCTTCATTTAATAACAGAAAAAAGTGAAACTGGCAAAGCTGTCTACCTACCCAGAGATCAGAGGAAACTAAATTTTTGGGAGGGTAGTTTTAAGGTCAATTGCCACTTTTGAATCTTCTTGTTCTTTTTATTTTGAAAGTGGTTTCTGTTACTTTTAATAAAACTGGTAACATATGAGAGGACTGCTATACATGCGAGATACAACTATGAAGCTTAAAGTAGATATCTCAAATTATTTCACTACAGCAGGACAAGTAGATTCTGTATGAACAGTCATAGGAAAAAAAAGAAAAAAGAAAAAAAAAACCCAACAAACAAAACATGAAGTAACTAAGTAACTTACTTTTGTTTTCCCTCTCTTGGTTCATTTTCTCTGCTGTTAGATCACTGATATCACTATCAATATTCACCCTTTCTTCTTGTAATTTTTTCAGCTCATTATTAACAGCATCAGTTTGTGGCTGAAGATCCTCACAGACTGCCATTGTATTGAGCTCATTCTTCCAGTCCTCTATCATCTTGTGAGTGTTGCGTATTTTCCTCTGTCTGTCCATTTCTTCATCTTTTTTCATTCTCAAAGCTTGATGAATTTCATCAATCTAAGAATTTTGAGTATTTCCAACATGAGAGGACTTTAGTACACAAACCTTATGACAAATAACTAGGATATCTGTGCAACTGGTATTAAATAGTGATGTAACCATGTGCTAAAACTGAAAGAGTTCGTTATAGTTCCAATAGCCCTACGACAGTTGAAGAAGTGACAAGATTTTGTTAAGATTTAGGAACATTTAAGCAAAAATACAATCAAGCTTTTAAATCAATTTTTGAAGTTCCTTTATTTTTACAAAAGCAGAAGCTTAAAGCTTAAGGTCTTCCTTAACACATCTGAAAGTTAATCTAAAGACTGCATAAAACCTATAGCACAATGTGCAACTTTGACCCTGCACCCTTACATATTTAATTTATACATTTCTTGAACGAGTGCTTAGATGTAGTTCTGTAACTGTTTTACAACATATCTTTGCATTTTCTTTTTTAAAAATGCTGGATGTATACACTTAACAGAAGCAACAACCTTAGCCTCTTGCATATAATATTTGAGGGCATGTTTAATGCTAAGCGCATTATTGTACTATAAAGGCTGTAGCTTTTCAAGGAAAGCCTTTAATATATAGTATATCTACACATACACTGTCGTTCCTAAGCTTGTTGCATCAAGGTAACTGATTTTATGTAGCATACACCTGTCCCTTAGTAATACCTGTTTGACCAATAGACGTTTTAAACATTCATTGTGTACTGGAGGGATTGAGGTGTGCAAGCACTTGCAGCTTCTTCAGAGAAACTTCTCTCTCTGCTAATAGAAGAACGGACAACCCCCCCCCCTCCCATATCTGTATTTTACCACAGAATTTCAGAAGTAGCATTCCACCTGAATGTGGCATATGCTATAAGCTTGTACTGAATTAATACATTAGCAAAGAAACACACAAAAAAGTCACAAATATCAAGACTCTTACTTGTATATCTTTCATCTCCAAAGCATCTTGCTTCTGTTTACATTTTTGAGAAATGTCTTTGATTTCAGCAGCCTGCATACAGCAAGATATTTACATTAGTCATAAATTCAGTTACAGTTACATTTGTAAAAAGCAGTCATATTTTAAAGAACATTCTGTATATGCATAACTAAGCGTTTATTCCACATTTTATTACTGACAAAGTCATACTCGCCAGTTTCTTATTATTCTTACTTGTATCTGTAACATGTATTTTCAGTAATTTGTGAAGAACTGAATAATGGCCTACAAACTGTTCACAACCATTCAGCTATAGATCTGCAAATTCAGGTATGACATACAGAGGAAGTCTCCTAACCTAATCTGAAATTAAAATAACTCCATCATCAATTTAAATAAAAATGTTACATTCAGATCCTTACACTTATAAAATGTTCTTCCCTCTTTTCCAAACCAACTTTATCAAGGAAAGCTTATACTTAGAGTAAGAAAGGCATAAGTTCCTAGGCACAGGACAGCCAAAACAGAATTTGTTGAAGTCATCCTACCTGTGAAGTGCATTGTGCTAAAGCTATATCCCACACAGCTGAGCTTGACAACTTGTTGGTTCATGTGTAGGCACCCATACCTCTACTCTTCCTCTATCCTTCAGCTTCTATAGAGTTTTGGAATAATACAGGTCAGGAGGGACTGCTGAGCATCAAACAGTCTAACCCCTTGCTCAAAGCAGGTCTTATTAGGTCAGGTTGCCCAGGCACTTGTACAGCTGAGTCCTGAACACAGTGGAATTGTACTATGCTTTCTGTACAAACTTAATTCCTCCTTCCCTGAACACTCAAGGCTGAAAACAGTGCGAGGAGAATACCAGAACGCTGTAGAAGGATGGAAGGACTGTAAGTAAATTCCAGTGCAGACATGGAAACAAGCATAGCACTCTCGCTGGAAGACATGTCTTCCTACAAACCGAGTCACACTGAAAACAGTAAGATGCTTCCAGAATGGAGAAAATAAAACTAGGCAAAACCTTTCCCATCCCACATCCTGAAAGATGCACAAAAATTTAAGACTCTGACTCTACAGCCGTTTGCATGGAAGGCAACATGGAACAATACATCTTGGTCTTGCAGTTGACTGCTGCGCAGTACTGATTCTGTGATGCTCTCTCCAAAGACCTCAGGCAGGCACTCTGAAGAGGAAGCTCTCTCCCACAAAACTGATGGAAAATATCCACAAAACAATTCTGAAGGTTCTTAAAGTCAGGACACTAGTATTGAACTGGAATTCATTTTTTCATATTTTCATCATATTTTCAATTATTATATATTTATATATACCTACCTTACAGATTAACAACTGTAATTGCCTTTATGGTTTTCATGGTACAACCACAACACACCACTTTATACTGTCAAATATTGCTAAAAAAATTGCATTTCATAGTCCACTCTGTTCAAATGCCTTTAAAGAACCTAAAGTGGAAACTATTCTAGGCTTCTCTCACATGATTTTATCAATCTCTTACAAAATAGGTGAACTTCTTTTTTTCAGAATGTACATGTCCTACACACCCAAAGCACAAACTTTTACTAAGAATTCTTAGTCTAACCAAATCCTTAAAAGACTTTTAACACAACGAGAGACAAGACAAAGTCATGCAGTGTCTCGATACACTAATTTCTTCCCAGATTTAGCTCCGCCTTTACTTTCAGACCAGTTCCTTCCAGGCAAAAATCTGTAACACCATGCTTGGCTTTTTGCCAACAAACTGCACAAAAGCCGTAATAAAGAGGTGGTTTATCTCTACTCTCACATATGTATCCTCAAGCCAAGAGCGAGATCTCAAGAAGTAGTCAGGATTACAGTTACTTCATAAGGAATACAAGCCTGGACCAAAGGGCCTGAAGACAATTATGTTCTGTACAGGTCTAAGTGTCCAAAACAGAGTGGACTTAAAATGCTAAACTGCCTTCCCTTAATGCCAAATCGAAATTTGGCTTGAAAGAAAACTTTTGAGCCTAAAATAGAGTTATACTGGTTTTATAATAAAATCAACATTGATCAACTGCTGCTGGCTTACAGCATATTTTAAATGCTCATCAAATGCTTGCATCTACAAAGATAAAACTTTAACTTATAACAAATTCCAGCAATATCTACGAAAAAGTGAAGAACTAATGAAGAAGTAGCAATCTAAGCAATTTTAAGGCATGGTACTTAAAAGCCTTGAGGTTTTGCCTTAGGTCAAAACTAACTTCTGACAGTGCAAGTAGCACTAATTCTCCTTTAAAAGAACTTCATTTTCACAATCCATCTAAGAAGATACGTGGGAGGGAAATGGATTTCAGTACCCCAAAAAAGAGCTACTGTCACAAGAGTTCAAAAAGTAGCAATACAGCTCTAACATCTTGGTAACTTGCCTGATGTTACACAAATTGTTCATGCTGCGACCAGGTATATAATCACAGAATCATAGAATCATTATGGTTGGAAGAGACCTCAAAGATCATCAAGTCCAACCGTATACTCGATGCCACCATGCCCGCTAAACCCACTAAACCATGTCTTGAAGCACCACACCTAAACGTTTTTTGAACACCTCCAGGGATGATGACTCCACCACCTCCCTGGGGAGCCCGTTCCAATGCCTAACGACTCTACCAGTGAAGAAGTTCTTTCTAATGTCAAGCCTGAACCTCCCCTGGCGCAACTTGAGGCCATTTCCTCTCGTCCTACCACAACTTGAGCCCTTTCCCTCTTGCCCTGCCACTAGTTACCAGGGAGAAGAGAACAACCCCCACCTCGCTTCAACTTCCTTTCAGGTAGTTGTAGAGGGC